TTATACTTCCAGCACAGGGGTGTCAAACTCATGTCGTCACAGCAGCGTCAATTTGATAGGTCTGTCCTAGTACTTATTTGCCCAGGATGTCAAAAAGTTTTGTGTTTACAAAACACTTTGGCTAAGTTAACACAACATAAAGTAATAAAATAAATAATAGCCAAACAAAATAAGTAATCCATTGCTTGTGTTGGATTGCCTAGATTTTGGAATTCCATAGTATCTCAAAAGGTTTCTGCAAAATTCCATTGTGCACAGTTAGTTATATTTTTCTTCTACTTGTTTATAGAATTAAATAAATGTACAGGTTTTCTGTACTTTTCTGAGGAAATAAAGGTACGGGTAAAGGTTTCCCCTTCCCAGTTGTAGAGGACAGTGTTATCTCTCTTTTTTAGAGAACCAGTGTTGTCCAAAGACATTTCTATGGCCATATGGCCCACATGACTATATGTTGAAGCACGTGGAATTCCGTTACGTTAACACTGAAATAGTTTAAAACTGCCAATTTCATAAATGAAGGAATTTTGGATGTAAATGTCAGGAAGGAACTCCTAATTGATCTTAACCCATTCCTAAGAGGTCTGTAAGGGGCATGCATAAGTGGACAATCATGCCTACCGTCCCTGTCCTATTGTCCCCAATTATTAGTTCCTATTTCTTATATTTAAACTTATATTTATTCTTATTTCTATTGTATTGTAAGCTTTTGACAAAATAAATAAATAAATATTTTTTCCCCTTTTGCTGAGGAGATAGATCTGTCAGTCCATTGAAGTCATCACTCCCCAGCTAATTACTTCGTCGTTTTGCAGAGACAAAAATATACCTGGGGGTGGAAGGAGTGTTAGTTTTAAACTGTCTGTCTTTCTGCAATTCTCCAGAATCCATTTCTGTTTCTTGACAGATCCCAACACCTTGTATTGTAGAAGCGGATAAATTTGTATCATTACAAATTTAATTCAGGATTTGGCCAGACTCAAGCATCATTGACTGCATGTAAATACATGTGTATAAATAGGGATATGCAGGATTCAATCCAGAAGGAAAAATATACTTTTGATTCAGAAGGTGATGCTTACTGTATGTCAGCAGCACCTTAAAGGAGCCATATTTTTTCCCCTTCATTTTATGTTCCAGGAATTTAAGTTCAGCGAATGCTAAAGAGCTAGCAACCTGTGTATTTTTAGGGACTACATGGCTACTTTCAAGACCAAAAAAAAAAAAAAATCTAGCTTCCTTAAGCTGCTGATAAGAAGTATAGCCTGTGCACGCACCAGGTGCTGCAAAAATGCTAATCCAAACACTGCTCACTATTAACTTGAATATATATCATGTACCACATTCAGTATTTCTTCCTTTATCTTTTGTTTGTATCCAGACCCCTGTAAATTTAACTAATGTTATTTATTGGACTTTGTAAAAAAATCAGGATGAAAAGAATGTTGATGATTTTTGAACTTTGATGTTAAAGAAAATATCTGAGAATGTCATGGATATCCAGGGAAACAAACTAATGGAGTATACAACAAACTTGTTTTCACTTGAGTCATTAATGACCAGGTTCAAATTATCATATTTTGGACTCATTATGTGAAGCCCTGGCTCCTTTGAGAAGCTATAGTGCTGGGAAAAGTGGACAGAAAGAGAAGAGGTTGATGAGTAGCAAAATGGATGAACGTGATCACAAAAGGGTACTATTTAAAAAAAAATGAAGGGACATATTGAAGACAGAGCATCTTGCCAAATGTATATGTGGATCCTAAGAATGAACACTGACTTGGCACATAACAAATCAATCAATATTAATTAAGTCTGTGAGAAACTGTGTTAAGGAAATACTTCGATAATGGTTACTCAGGCTTCTTTCCAATCTTTTAGTGAAGATAAAAAGGGGTGGAAATCCATTGGGAGTAATGTGTCACAGGTCTAACTTTTTTATTCCCAGCATCTAGGAATTAAAACACATTTTTCTAACATTTTTGTTCTAAAATGACAACATAAATTATCCCTGTCAGTTAGGCTCAAATCATCACTTTACTAAATATGCAATTAAGCATTTCTTACTTTCTGACAAGATCACTATTAAATTTTGAACAGTACAGGCAACAAAATATGTAGTATTCAAAGATTAAAATAAACTATTAAATTAAAAATAATACAGAACATTGCAGAAAAATATCTATTTGCTAAATTGCTCTAAATTATATAATCATATTCTAAATTTTCTTTTTTTTAATCTAGCGGAAAGTTGCTTTTACCCAGGTTTGGGAATGTTTTTTCCTGAATGTTTTTCTTCCCCTCTCTTTTTTGTAATAGGAAAACAAATATTTGATATCTGATCCAAACTATTTTTTTTTCAATATAAGAAGTCTACATAGTTGCCAGAATTTAGCCATTAGACTATAGTCTTCTCAGAAGTATCCAGATTTTAAATTCCCTGATCCAGAAATATTGAGGCAAAATTAAATCAAGACAGTCCTACCTAAGTAAGCAAATTGTCACAAATCCAGAATCCAGCTGGCAGGTTCACAAATAATGATCGCATGACCCCAGAACAACATTTGTAAATACATGCTAGTTACCAAGCACCTGAATTTTGATCATGTGACCATGAGGATGTTGTGAAGTTGTACACTAAATGTGAGGATTTGTTATAAGTCATTTTTTTCACTACCACTGTAACTTTGAACAGTTGCTAAATAAATGGTTGTAAATTGAAAACTACATGTATCAATTTGGAACATATGCCAGTATCCCATAATGGTGTATTGTTTAGGTGTTGGACTATGACTGCCTCATAGATAGAGAAACTGAATGAGTGAGATCCATACTTTGTCTTTTAGTTCACCCTTCTTAAATTCTCAATACTTAGCTTGTAATAGGGATAAAATTAGAACAGGGAATTCCATATACACTGCTTTGAACTTATTGATGAAATATACCATAGAAAGCTAGCAAATTATAAAATCATATCATATAAATAAATCATATTCCCATTGTGGCTCTTACTGCCACTTACAACAAATTTCTCCTGATGCCAGAGCCAAGTCTTCATTATCCTAATCCCCAAAACATTCCATTACTAACCAGGGCCGTCTTAACAGCATTATGGGCTCCGGGCAAAGCAGTGTACTGGGACCCCTACAACAACTACTTGCAGGAATAAAAATGTAAATGGCTGATAAAATTAAACATATACTTACTTCCAACAAAATTGGTGTTGAAACATTAAAAATATGCTGTGCAGCAACAACTAATCAACATGATAAACATTTGAACAGTACACAAGGCTTGAAAAACACAATAATACTCAGTGAGCCATACAGTTGCTATATTTATATGATACAAGGTGCATTGAAGGGTTAACATACACAGATTAGTATGGGGCCTCTATGTTCATGGGGCCCACTGGCAAGTACCCATCAGGCCCATGCCTTAAGACATCCCTGTTACTAACAAGAAACAGCATGGCTGGCTCAGGAATTCTGGGAGTTGAAGTCCACAAATCATACAAGGATCATAGTTCCCACTCCTAATTTAAGAAAAGAATTATAAAAAGACTTCATTTACTATGGTTGTTCTTCCCTTCTCAAGAAAATAACATTCTCAGTCTTGTGAGAGTTTAAGGAAAACTTATCCAGAACTCAGTTCTACTTCGGAAGTGAGGCCTGGAAGAATTGAAGCACTCAAAATTTTTCAGATAAATGTTCAAAGCTTTTACAGTTCCAACTCAGCTTAATTTCCCAATGAACAATTAAAATATTTTGTCAGGAAACTTGACTAGATGACCTAATTCTGCTTTATTGTAAGTTTGAATCTTGCATGTCTGAAGACATAAATTTCTCATCTCCACTTTTAACTGATGGATCAATTAGGGTAGGTACTTCCTAAACCTTTTTCTTTGACCATTAAACCACTAGGAATATAGCAATAGCATTTAGACATATACCGCTTTACAGTGCTTTTCAGCCTTCTCTAAGAGGTTTACAGAGTCATCATATTGCCCTCAACAATTTGGGTCCTCATTGGGATGGAAGGCTGAGTCAACCTTGAGCCTGGTGAGATTTGAATTGCCAAATTGCAGGCAACCAGCAGTCAGCAGAAGTAGCCTGCAGTACTGCAGTCTAATCACTGCACCACCGTGGCTCATGTGTATATATCTTGTTTGGTTGTTTCTTAGGCACACCTCTTCCCTTTATCCCCCAAGGTCATATACACATTCTGTTACACATTTTAAAAGCTAATTGGATACTGATTCTATAGTGGATTCATACATTGTTCACTCATACTTTATTTAATCATGATTTACAGAATTAACTACTACTGATTCATTTAATAAATGAAGAGGCCATATTCATACAATATGTTAAGCAATACAGCAAGACTAATCAAACTATATAATGGTTTAGTGTGATCATAATTGAAATATCTCAGTTGGAAGCTGCAGCCCATTTTTCCATCACTGGGAATAAAGGACAGAGAGGAAACCTTATCTTGCTATCAAGACATCATATAAAAAAATAATTCTTGAGTTCTGACTTACTTTGTAATTATGGTGAAAGAATTTCCATGCATTATTGCAATTTGGCAGACTATCTAAGCTTGATCCCATGGAGAAACTAATTTTTCAACCTACCTTATAAAGAACAATTCTAGGCAAGTCTTCATTTTAGGTATTTATGTATTTGCTTGTTTGTTATTTAAAAGACTTATGTGCGCGCCTATTTCACGAGTGTTCTTAGCTCAAAACAAGAATTAATGAACCTATCTGATTAAACTTCGATGATGTGTGAAACACTGAGCTTCACAGTAAATCATCTTAGCACTAGCTTAAATTAAATTTCATAATCTGTGCTTCATTGACATATTTAATTTTCCAAAGAAGGACTAATGGGAAAACTTGATATGCCATAAATGTTTAGTGTAATTATTTAAAATGTAATACCAGAAGACAGAAATGTACAAAATAAAATCTAACAGGGTCTTTCAATTTCCTGCAGAGCCAGAAAAGACAGATTTGTCCAGAAAAGACCTGCAATGGATAAAAAAAGCAGTGGTTATTTCTTGCTGATCATTCTACTAATTGTAAGTAAAAAATAAAAAAGCCTAATAACATTTATCTGAAAACCACTCAAGCCAAAGTTTGCATGTTATTAAGCGCATAAACCTTATTATGCAGAGGTAAACAACTTTAAACCCACTGTTCCTATTGCTGTCTTGGTCCACACTTGGTCTAATTATATGTACCTCAATGCACTGTGCATATTAATGAAATATCATAATTTGTTTACTTATTTGATGTACATCAAATCAGATCAAATTTTTGAATGAATCCTTTCAACAACTTAACTATTTGCAGCTGAAACTAATCTGGAGATTCACTCCTTCTCACTCCATCCAATTAATGATGTTAAAATGGCATTCTGTATGTGTTTATATCTATCAAGGCCAGGACACAATAAATTGATACTAATTGAATTAGTATCATGAATTATATAATTGACAAATTGCTTCTGAAGTCACAAAGAGACTTGCCTATACATGGTTGCTAATTCTCATTGACCAATAGACAGATAGATAGTTATACACAAATTTACACCCACTTACACATAGAAATAAAGGCAAAGGCAGAGGTTTCCTCTATCCAGTTGTGTGAGTCTAAGAGCGGTGCTCATCTTTGTTTCTTAGCCAAGGAAGCCTGTATTATCCAAAAACATTTCCATGGAATCTGAGTGATTGACTTTTTAGCGGCCAAGCCCAGCATCTTTAACCTTTGAGCCATTGCACCCTGACACATAGAGATAGTCCTTGCTGAATTATTACACCTGAGATTGGCAACTTGTTTTCTAAGCAACTCCATCATTAAACAAGATGTCACATGACTGTGAGTTGTGACTTTACTGCTGGTTTCTCCTTTGACTTTTCTTGTTGGAAGCCAGCTATGAATCACTCAAATGATAATCACGTAAATGCATAAACATCCACTGGTTGTGAAGTGCCTTAGTCTCAATCACATGACCACTATGATGCTATGATGATCAAAGGATCGGTTTAGTTACTGAATGGTCACTACACGGCAGTCTTTAAGCTTGGATTATAAATTGATATAGATAGATACCGCAGCAGATGATAGATAAATCTCAGGACATCAAGGCAAGGCAGGCCTCTAGTGCACGGGTGTCAAACTCAATCGTGTCATGTGACATATCATGATCTAGCGCAACGTTTTTTGCTTGGGGTGGGTATGGTCTTCATGTGGCTGCCAGTTTGACACCCCTGCTCTAGAAAGTAACCAGTAAGCCTCGACCCATGCTACCATGAAGGCAGGCACCGTTAGTCCCCCAATATATAATAAAGAAAGTTGACAGAGTAGCAACACGCTCACAAAAAGAAGTTCTCAAGGCAAGGCAGAGCAGAAGGCTAAAGACATGAGTCAAAGCCAGGGAATGTAAGCTAAAACAAATAACTGTTTCTAAAAAAGACTTAACTCCACGTGGCTTCCCCTTAAGTCAATCCATTCCAGGTGTTCCTTGTGAGGAGTGCTGGGTCAATCTTCTCCTGAGTAGCCTTGCAGGTCTTCTCTGAACTTACCTATGCTCTGCTGTCCATGCCCTTGGATCAAGTGGGGCAGGCAGCTGTTTCTCATCAGAGGGGATCTGCTACCAATCAGCACCACCTGTTAGCAGCCAATTGCCAGAGGTTTTCTTCATGCCCTGGAAAAAAAATATCAGTGTGCCTCTTTCCCCTCTTCAAGTTATGCAAGCCTTAGTCTAAATTCTGTTTCACTAGGCACTTGATAACTGGAATAAGAAGCAGGCCTGGCCTAGATGTATGTGTGTGTATATCGTCCCCCTTTAACATTGGCCAGGAGATGCCATCCACTTCTGTTGTACTATAACATGCTACCAAGATCCTGTCAATGTTTTATCAAAGATTGGAGAAACGGAACACTGGTTCCAGAAAATATATGTTACCTTCCTCCATCAAAAATGGAGAAAGCTTTATTATTTCATTTTGAAGTCCAAGCAATTCCAGGGAATCATTACTATATGGATCCTATCATAAAAGTCTGCATCATGAATAAGATTAAACAAACATAAGGATAGAACAAATAAAACAAATATGGATTGATGCATTAATACAATATCTCAAAATAGAAGTAAAATTATTCTTGTATGGTCCTTACCAGAGGGCAGTTTGTAGTTGATTGGAGAGGAAGATAGAATCCAGCTGGAACAATCCTGTTATCTACTTCTATCCTCTCTCTCATGGAATACTAGCTTTTATGAAGAACAGGAATAAATGGGTCTGTAGTGAGTGTGAGTTTAATTGAGAAGGTCTTTGTCTTCTGTTGCTTTTTCTGATTATTCATTCTATAAAAGAACTAGATGTTTTAATGTTATTTTATAGTTTTGTACACTTCCCAGAGTCCACTTGAGCTGAGTGATCAATAAAGCAGTTGACTCTCCTTAATATGGAGCAAAGGGAGGCATGGAATGTTGCAAGTACACCAGTTAGTTAAGGAAGACAGAAAGGCATTCGAAAAAACATCTGAAGAACATGTACTGAAGCTAGTATATCAGGAAGGCTTACTGACTTCTGGAGAGACCAAACTGGCCTACAAGAAAGACAAAGTGAAGAACAGGAAAGAGACATGGGAAGAGAAAGCATTACATGACTAGTGTACATACACAAACACACACATACACGCCACCAAGAAATGCACATAACTACAACATCCAGCAAGAGCTAAAAGCTGCAAAGTTGAAGAAAGAGACAGAGGGGCTAATTCTGACTGACCAAGACCAAGCATTAAAAACAAATGCATCCAAAGCCAGAATTAAAAAGATAGCAACAGACAGCAAGTACCGCTTCTTCAAAGAAGCTGAAGACACAGTGGACATCTAGTTAGCTGCTGCAAGATTTCACAGACTGACTATAAACAATAGCATGACAAACTAGCAGCAATAGTACATTGTAAGATCTGAAAGAAATATCATTTGCCTGCAAGCAAGAAGTGGTAGGAGCACAAAAACAGACAAAATAATAGATAATGAAAAAGCTATGGAACTTTAGAATTCATGCAGACAAGCACCTGCCATATAACATCCTAGATGTAACCATTGTTGATAGGAAAGACAAAAAAGTCTGGATGGTGGATAAAGCAAAAGTAGAAGAAAAGAGAAAAAACTGAAGAAAAATCACAAAATACCTGCAAATAGAAGTAGAATGACTGCGACAAAATAAAGCAAAGATAATACTGTTGTAGAGCGGCGGAGATACGAGGCTGACCCAGAGCGTTCATTAAAAAGGGGCTTTATTCGGTGAATAAAGGGTTGCCGTGACTGCCAGGCTAACAAGGCAGATCAGCTGGCGGCAACAGCTGATGCCGTTTGACAGCTCCTTTTATAGCTGCTGTCAAACGGCATCAGCCAATGGGAGCAGTCGGCACTCCCGCTCGAACTGCAGACCTGGTTGGGGACTCCAATCAGTTCTATGGACACAACACTCCTTTCCCCCGGCCAGGAGCATGCGTAGTCTTGCAAATAGGCCGGTCACCTACAATGGCAGTGGGACCGCCTGAGTTCAGGGAAGTCTCCGGCTGGAGTGAAGTCCTCCGCTCTTGGGGCTGCCCTGGGGACTGCAGGAGAGCGGGTTCGGTCTGTGGGGGCCTGCGGTGGATCAGGTAGGCTTTCTCGTTCAGTTCGTTTTTGGCGCGTCGTTCGGCTGGGGCGGTAGACCGGCTCGCTCGGTTGGGAGTCCATACCCTTTCGTTGGTAGATCGGGCCCGGCAGGGAGCTCTTGACTCTGTCTGGGTAGATTGGGCCTGGCAGGGAGCTCTCGGCGTTGCCCGGGTAGATCGGGTCTGGCAGGGAGCTTTCGGCATTGTCCGGGTAGATCGGGCCCAGCAGGGAGCTCTCATCGTTGTCTGGGTAGATTGGGCCCTGCAGGGAGCTTTCGGCGCTGGCTGGGTAGATTGGGCCCTGCAGGGAGCCCTCGGCACTGGCTGGGTAGATTGGTCCCAGCAGGGAGCCCTTGGTGCTGGCTGGGTTGGCTGAGTAGACTGGCCCCTTGGCGTTTGTCGGGTAGGCTGGATCCTCAGTGCTTGCTGGGTAGATCAGGCCGCTTGGCTGGATGCGGGAGCCATCAGTTGTGCCTTTCCACCTCCTCCTCAGCTGGTCCACGTGTCTGCGCCACATGCGTCCGTCATCTAGGAGGATTCTGTAGGATCTTGGCCCTGCAACTGACACAACCTGTCCAGGTACCCACAACGGGTCCCCTGCATACCAGGTCATGCAGGGCAAAGTCCCTGACCAAACTGTCAGACCCCAAGGGGGTGTCTGGGCTGTAATGGGGGTGTAGCCTGTCCAAGGTGGTCCTAAGACACCTCCCCATTAATAGTTTAGCAGGTGATTTGTTTGTTGTGGTGCATGGGGTTGTATGCTGGCTTAGAAGATAATGGGATAGTTTGGAGTGCCAGTTTTTCTGGCCAAACCTAGCAAGTGCCTCTTTTACTGACCTGACTGCCCTCTCAGCCATCCCATTACTAGCTGGGTGAAAAGGGGCTGTGAGAATGTGTATAATACCTAAGTTGGCAGCGAACATTCTGAACTCACAAGATGTGAACTGGGGACCATTGTCAGACACCACTATGTCAGGGAGGCCATGGGTGACAAAAAAACGGGTCAGAGCTTTAACAATTGCCTGAGTGGTTGTTGAAGGAAGTAGAGCCAAGTCAATCCATTTGGAATAAGAGTCTACTAAAACTAAGAAGGTCCGCCCATGTACTGGTCCAGCCAGGTTGATGTGCAGGCGAGACCAAGGCCCCTCAGCACTTTCCCACCTGGTAGGAGTGGCTGCTGGTGGGGCAGGCCTGGTAGTTTGGCATGGTTGGCACAAGCTTACCCAGCTGGAGATTTGGGCATCCATGCCTGGCCACCATACGTAGCTGCAGGCCAGGGCCTTCATCCTCACGATGCCCGGGTGGCCTTCGTGAAGGACCTTTAAGATTGGTACACGGAGAGTGGCTGGGATGACCACCCTTGTTCCCCATAACAAACAACCCTGCAGGCATGACAACTCTT